CCATCACAGCATCTAAAGTGGAAGCGTGCATCTTATGGACTCTCACCTCTCCAGGGGCCCCTGCAACCGGACTGCGCTATAACCCATGGTTGGAGGTATTCTGTATACTACATGCACATATACCCGGGTATAATTGCAACCTCCCAATTTATGCTAAATTGTAATTCCTGAATGTTATTCTTATGCATCCTGTTTTATGTGGCTGCTTTATATAAACTTTGCATTAATCTCATACAGGTGTGGTGACATGTTTATCATGTTAGAAATATAAGCTGGGTGCATTAATACTGCTATGTATAGTTACTTTAAGTTGTCTACCTGTTACATTCCTAGAAAGGGGGGTGAGTCTCCTCAATTGCAGGATCCCTATTCTAGGTGGAGGCACTGCCATTTGTATTATCACAACCCCCTCTTCCATATAGTGAAGGCTCAGGATTGCCTACTCATATACAGGTTAGCGCCATAGCTTGTTTGGTGTGGGCCATTTCACATACCCCCCCCCCAAAACAGGGCTACAGGTATATAACCTATAAGTGTAGTGCTCACAAACTCAGAACCAAAATTATAAAAATAAATAGTAATGAGAAATAATCCTAGAAATCACCAAGATCTTACAACCCTTAAAGTCTCCTATCCAAGTAATTCCTTGGGATATTGATCTGCCCAGTTAAGTAGCAAAGGGGGTTGTTAATCAGTTTCAGCTGCGTTGGTGGTAATTAAATTAACAACAGGTGCACTAGATGGGCAACCATGAGACGATCCCCAAAACAGGAATGGTTTTATAGGTGGAGACCACTGACATTTTTTCCCTACTCATCTTTTCTGACTGTTTTTCACTAGTTTTGCATTTGGCTAGGGTCAGTGTCACTACTGGTAGCATGAGGCTATACCTGGGCCCTACAGAAGTTACACAGGCTGTCCAATTACTCCAGGATGACACATCAATACGTGCCATTGCCAGAAGGTTTGCTGTGTCTCCCAGCTGGACAGGGCTGTAAAAGGTCCTTAACCCATCAGCAGGACTGGTACCTGCTCCTTTGTGCAAGGAGGAATAGAATGAGGACTGCCAGGGCCCTACAAAATGACCTCCAGCAGGCGACTGGTGTGAATGTCTTTGACCAAACAATCAGAAACAGACTTCATGAGGGTTTCCTGAGGGCCCAACGTCCTCTAGTGGGCCCTGTGCTCACTGCCCAACACCATGGAGCTTGATTGGCATTTGCCATTGAACACTAGAATTGGCAGTCCGCCACTGGTGCTCTGTGCTTTTCACAGATGAGGGCAGGTTCACCCTGAGTACATGTGCCAGATGTGAAAGGTCTGGAGAATCCACTGAGAACGTAATGCTGCCTGCAACATTGTTCAGCATGGCCGTTTGGATGGTGGGTCAGTGATGATCTGGGAGGCATATCCATGGAGGGACGCAGGGACCTCTACAGGCTAGACAATGGCACTCTGATTGCCATTAGGACCCCCACGCTCGTCTAACCTAAATCCAATAGAACACCTCTGGGATATCATGTTTCAGTCCATCCGATGCCGCCAGGTTGCACCTTAAACTGTCTAGGAGCTCAGTGATCCCCTGGTCCATATCTGGGAGGAAATACCCTAGGACACCATCCCTCGTCTCATTATGAGCATGCTCCAACATTGTCAGGCATGCATACAAGCATGTGGGGGCCATACAAACTACTGAGTACCATTTTGAGTTCCTGCATTGAAATTTCAGCAAAATGGACTAGCCTGCTGCATCATTTTTTTCACTTTGATTTTTGGGGTGTCTTTGAATTCAGTCCTCTGTAGGTTGATCATTTTAGGTTGATCATTTTCATTTCCATCAAATGATGGGGCATCCTTACGTTTCTAACATATTACCTAGTCCATATCAGTATAGATATCCAGCATGATATTTTTCCCCATTGAGACCTGATGTGTTTTCAAAGTGTCCCTTTAATTTTTTTTGAGCAGTGTATAATCACAATGCTTTACTAAAACTGTGAAATTGTGGGAACAAAAACATAAATCAACAAAGTGCTTAAAGCCAGGAATTAATATAGAGGCATATACAGCAGAAAATATACTAGGGCAGAATAAAAAGAGTCACTCAAGCTGCGACGTGGACAATAGGATGAGCTTCTCAGGCTGTCACCATCAAACACGTGTAAAGTCTCTCAGGTGTCATTGATCACACACAAGACTTACCAAATAATGCTACCTTCCAAGAGTGGTCACATGCGCATAAGGAAATTCCTCAAGAAAAATGGTGTTCTCTCCAGCCTCCAGTCATCTACAGAGACACCATAAATTTGCAGTCAATTGTCACCATATACATCCACAACTTGCAGGGAATCACTGCACCACTGGGAATTAGCTCAGCAGGACCAATGCATATATGATAAAAGAGCCACTCCACATGTCTCCACAGCATAAAACTACCCATAAAAAGGAATTTAAGTCTAAGAAATTACAACACAGCATATCACATGGTACAGCAACATGGAATTCGATCAAAGAAGGCTTCTGTTTCTTCGCACATGCTCAGTAGTAGTAGTTTTATCACAAATTACATCATCAGGGGAATGGATACACTGACCAATTGGAAACTCGGGCACTGCCCGAGGGCCCGGGGTCAGTAGGGGGCCCCATGAGATGCCCCTGGTACCTTTTTCATAGACTTTTTTGAGTTTGGGCAAGGACACAGGTGCCCCATGATCGCCTATTGCCTGGGGGCCCCATGAGTTGTCAGTCCACCCCTGTGCACGTCCATACTGAGTTGTTTAAATAAACATATCCAGCCAAGGAGAATCACATTCCATTGGCTAAGAGAAACATCAAATAGTTAAACCAATGCTATCCATGGCTTCTTTGGATCAACACAAGCACCTAAATCAGCTCAAATAATCATCAGAGAGTGCTCAATATCCCCATTTTGTGCTCATATAGTAAAGTACACTCCAGAAAAAGAAAGAGTGCTTAATATTGCCATCTTGTGCTCAGACACCATATTATTCTCCAGTAAAATACACTCCAAGAAAATCTAGAGGGCTTAATGTTGCCATCTAGTGCTCAGATACCATAATACACTTCAGAAATATTATACTACATATAAAACCTTGCTCTATTAAAAATGTTTAAAAAATTGGAATCCATGATCTCTGGTCAGAGTAACAAACAATTGCAATATAGTATCAATAAAAAAAGGCCGTTAGGACAAATAAAACAATAATAAAATAAAATTGAAAATTAAATCAAATCAAAAAACCCCTGTAAGATGTCACAAACTGTCAGACTAATGATGACATTTGCAAACACTTGTCAAAAAGGGAAAATTATCAAAACTAGCTATTGTTTATAAAACAATTAATGGCCTACTCAATATTTAAACCGAGGGGAGCATATGTTTTTATTTAGTATATCCACTTGGTTTCAGCTCTAAAAATATCTCTCTTAGCATTACTTCCCCTCCAATTGGGGACATACTGTATTTGTCAATGGCAACAAAAAAGGTGCCTGCTGGATTTTTATGTAGCAAAACGTAATGCTTTGAAACACTGTGGCTTTTATAGCTCTTCCTAATATTGGCAATATGCTCATTTTATACGAACCTGCAATGCCACACATATTGCAAACCACTTAGACACTGCAGCAAATAATCCACATGGGCTGTGGCCAGAGGGGGGGGGGGGAGGTGTTTACACCCCAAAAAGAAGGCTGGTTTAAAGGAAAGTGACAGTCTTAATTAGAGATGAGCGAATTATTCAAAAATTCGGTTCGGCTGATTCGCCGAATTTGCCGAATAAATTCGCTTCGAGCCGAATATATTCGCTGCGAATTTAACTTATAAAAAGGGTGTTTCTAGGCTTCAGAGAGCCTTTATATTAGTGCAGAACACTGTACCTTTAATTTAAATGCCCTTGGAGTCTGCTGGGGAAGAGAAATAATACTGTCAGTCAGTATGGACATGCAGATGAGTGCCGTCGATCTTAGAATCACCGCACACTTCACTCATTTGGGCAGTCACGGGGCCAAAACCAGAGTGTGGAGCCACAGTGTGGCGGTGGAGGCAGCAGCAATGGGAGGCCATACAGCACCCTATGACAAAATGGAACCCACCAGCAGTGTGAGGAGACCTGAAAGTGGCACATGGCAGAGTGTGGCGATGGAGACAGCAGCAATGGGAGGCCGTACAGGGACCCATGACACACTCTGGACTGGCAGCAGCATGAGGAGGCGGTACAGGGGCCCATGACAGATTACGGGCCTGGCAGCAGCATGAGGAGTCGGTACGGGGGCCCATGGCAGATTACGGGCCTGGCAGCAGCATGAGGAGGGGGTACAGGGGCCCATGGCAGAGTGGCGGAGCGTAAGCAGAGGCCTATGTTAAAAAGTCCCCCCAGCAGCAGCGTGGGGAGACGACTATCAAGAGTCCAATGGCAGAGTGGCGGAGCAGAAGCAGCTTCAATTGAAGGCCATACACAGGCCTAGGTTTAAAAGTCCCTCACAGTTAATTCCAATAACGAACTCTACTCCTCCGTGCAATCTACTTACGAGACCCTGGGCAGGTCTGGGTCCAATTTGTGGTAGAGACTGGTTTTTGTTCAGCCATGCTTGAGCGAGTAATAACAGGTCTGTGCTGCCCTTTGGTGTCTGGCTTAATGCGCACAACACTGAAACGTCCCAGCGTTTGTCAACGATTTGCCGTTAAGTGATGCAAACCCGCTGAACCACGTTCATGAGGAGCCGGTACAGGGGGCCATGAATCAGTATGGACCTGGCAGCAGCGTGAGCAGACGACAGAGGCACATGGCGCAGGGTGGCGGTGTAGGCAGCATTATTCTGAAGCCATACACAGGCCTAGGTTAAAAAGCGGAAGCCGTCAGCAGCGTGAGCAGACGACAGAGACACATGGCGCACGGTGGCGGTGGATGCAGCATTATTCGGAAGCCAAACACAGGCCTCGGTTAAAAAGCGGAAGCCGTCAGCAGCGTGAGCAGACGACAGAGGCACATGGCGCAGGGTGGCGGTGGAGGCAGCAGCAATGGAAGGCCATACAGCACCCTATCACAAAATGGAACCCACCAACAGTGTAAGGAGACCTGAAAGTGGCACATGGCAGAGTCTGGCGATGAAGTCAGCAGCAATGGGAGGCCGTACAGGGACCCATAACACACTCTGGACCTGGCAGCAGCAAGAGGAGGCGGTACAGGGGCCCATGGCAGAGTGGCGAAGTGTAAGCAGCTTAAATTGAAGGCCATACAGAGGCCTATGTTAAAAAGTTCCCCCAGCAGCAGCGTGGGGAGACGACTATCAAGAGTCCAATGGCAGAGTGGCGGAGCAGAAGCAGCTTCAATTGAAGGCCATACACAGGCCTAGGTTAAAAAGTCCCCCAGCAGCAGCGTGGGGAGACGACTATCAAGAGTCCAATGGCAGAGTGGCGGAGCGGAAGCAGCTTCAATTGAAGGCCATACACAGGCCTAGGTTAAAAAGTCCCCCCAGCAGCAGTGTGGGGAGACGACTATCAAGAGTCCAATGGCTGAGTGGCGATCCGGGAAGTCAGCGTTGTGATTGCAGATGCAATGCAGAGATTCTATGAGGTGATGCCGTGGGTGCGAAGAAGATCATATACCGTCGTACTTCCATCCATAAGACGGAACAACCTGTGAACCGGGAGCTTTATTGCCCTGACCCGCTGAGCAGCTTCTGGGATACCCAAGAGGCCCATGGCAGAGTGGCGGAGTGTAAGCAGCTTCAATTAAAGGCCATACAGAGGCCTATGTTAAAAAGTCCCCCCAGCAGCAGCGTGGGGAGATGACTATCAAGAGTCCAATGGCAGAGTGGCGGAGCGGAAGCAGCTTCAATTGAAGGCCATACACAGGCCTAGGTTAAAAAGTCCCCCCCAGCAGCAGTGTGGGGAGACGACTATCAAGAGTCCAATGGCTGAGTGGCGATCCGGGAAGTCAGCGTTGTGATTGCAGATGCAATGCAGAAATTTTATGAGGTAATGCCGTGGGTGCGAAGAAGATCATATACCGTCGTACTTCCATCCATAAGACGGAACAACCTGCGAACCGGGAGCTTTATTGCCCTGACCCGCTGAGCAGCTTCTGGGATACCCAAGAGTTTGGCTTCTGTGGGGAATATGGTTGAAAACTGAAACTTAAAGGCATGTTGACGGAAGGGCACCAGTGTCAGTGCTCCGGAGGGAATATAGCTTCAAAGCTGACACTTAAAGGTATTATCGACGGTCAGAGACCACAGGAAGTGGAGCTTGCGTCTTAAATCGACTGAATGTGGCAGACGTGAAACGTCTACGGGGCCGTATATGAAACGGGTTGTTCCTCTTTCTGGAATAAGTGTTGGAAATGGCACACTCTTTTTGGTGTGGCGTTTTGTCTATTTAATTCCGATAACGGACTCTACTCCTCCGTGCAATCTAGTTACGAGACCCTGGCAGGTCTGGGTCCAATTTGTGGTAGAGACTGGTTTTGTTCAGCCATGCTTGAGCGAGTAATAACAGGTCTGTGCTGCCCTTTGGTGTCTGGCTTAATGCGCACAACACTGAACGTCCCAGCATTTGTCAACGATTTGCCGTTAAGTGATGCAAACCCACTGAACCACGTTCATGAGGAGCCGGTACAGGGGGCCATGAATCAGTATGGACCTGGCAGCAGTGTGAGGAGACCCGAAAGTGGCACATGGCGCAGGGTGGCGGTGGAGGCAGCAGTATTCGGAAGACATACACAGGACTAGTTTAAAAAGCGGAAGCCGTCAGCAGCGTGAGCAGACGACAGAGGCACATGGCGCAGGGTGGCGGTGGAGGCAGCAGTATTCGGAAGCCATACACAGGCCTAGGTTAAAAAGCGGAAGCCGTCAGCAGCGTGAGCAGACGACAGAGGCACATGGCGCAGGGTGGCGGTGGAGGCAGCAGTATTCGGAAGCCATACACAGGCCTAGGTTTAAAACTGGAACCCAGCAGCGTGAGCAGACGACAAAGACGCACATGGCAGAGGATGGATCTGGCAGCAGTATGAGAAGGCGGTACAGGGGCCCGTGGCACAGTGTGGTGATGGGGGCTACAGCAACTGGATGCCAGAAAGTGGCCGATAGGGCTATATACTGCATGGAATTATAAAGTTGTAAAGACAGCGGCCTATAAGGCTATACACACTATAACAATCATGACTTGATTGACCATTGGCCTATAAGGCTATATACACAGCATGAATATCATGACTTATTCTGAGAGTGGTTTGGAAGGCTATATACAAAAAGTAATTCATGAGCTGTCCGGACAGCGGACAATAAGTACATATACAAATCAATTCATCAGCTGTCCAGCCAGCGCCTCAAAGGCGACACATATAGAAAGCAATTCATGAGCTGTTCAGACAGCGGCCTCTAAGGCGACAGATATACAAAGCAATTCCCGAGGTGTTCAGGGAGCGGCCTGAACGGCTAGGTTATTACTAAATATATTTTTGTGGCCAAACATCGCCTATAAATAGATGTCTACACAGTGACAAAAAATTATGTCGCCAGACAGCGGCCCCTAAGGCGACAGATATACAAAAACCAATTCCCGAGGTGTTCAGTGAGCGGCTTGAACGGCTAGGTTATTACTAAATATATCTTTCTGGCCAAACATCGGCCTATAAATAGATGTCTACACAGTGACAAAAAAGTAGGTCGCCTTACAGCGGCGTATCCTACAAATTGACATTATAAGAAATGGTTTAGACCAAAAAAAAAAACTTTGATGCGATGCTATACCTTAGTAGATTGTGGAAAGTCGACAAGTCAAGCGTAACTGTGTACATTACAGAAAATCTTAACAAGACAACCAAACATGTGGCCAAACCGTGACCGATACAACAAGTTAACAATGTAAGAAACAGGAGGGGGCCAAACCGTGGCCAATAAATAAACAGTCCACCTCATTGATGAGATGGACAACACGTGTCAAATAAATATTTAAAAAAATTGCTATTCCATCAGTATGGAAATGGTCGACTATAAATAATTAAAAAGTTTAAATTCATGTGACAGTCGTCCAGCGACGTATAAATAATTTTAAAAACACCAATTCATGAGGGGCCCGACCAGCAGAGTATAAGTCATTAAAAAGGTTCAATTCATGTGACGGTCGTCCAGCGAAGTATAAATAATTTAAAAACCCCAATTCATGAGGGGCCCGACCTGCAGAGTATAAGTCATTAAAAATGTGCAAAACATGAGTCGGCCGACCAGCAGTCTCTCAATAAAATATATATACAAATGTACGGATCAGGTGGAGGTCTTCCATTTGTCCCTAATAAAATGTTTGGGGCACGATTCATTGCGGATTTAGTCAGTTGTGTCAGGAGCTGGTGGTTTGAAATCCAGACTAATCCACGCCTGATTCATTTTCACAAACGTGAGTCTCTCCACACTTTGGGTGGACAGTCGTGTCCTCCGCGGAGTTACAATACCTCCTGCCCGCACTAAACACGCGCTCCGATGCCACGCTACTGGCCGGGCATGACAGCCTTTCAAGGGCAAATTCAGCTAGTTGGGGCCAAAGGTCAAGTTTCGTTGCCCAGTAGTCAAGGGGATTGCCTACCTTCGGTTGGCAGGGTGCTGTCCAAGTAGGTCCCCAAGCCTGTTGTTTGAGGTCCTGCTCCAGGTCCACCTGATGCTGATGCTGCTGCTGCTGCGGCTGGTTAGTAGTTTCCTCACTGCGCTGGTGAAGAAAGCTACTCATCATCGACTGCAGACTGGAGGCAGCCGCTGCTGGTGGAGCTGCCACTGCTCCTACCAACCAACCACCACCCCTCCCCTGCTGCCATGGCAGCGGAACGCGAGCGCACAGGGCCCACAGTGTCTGAGGATGGACGTTGGTGCACAAAGGCAGAGACCAACCTGACTACATAGGTGGTTTTTTTATAGTACTTTATTTTGGCCTCCCTCTTCTCAGCAGGTGTGAAAAAGGCCACCATTTTTGAACGGTAGCGAGGGTCCCAACAAGGTGGACAGCCAAAAGTCATCCCTCTGTCTGATGGTTATTATTCGGCTGTCGCTAACGCAAGCAACCGAGCATGCTATGGGCCATTTGTGCCAATGAATGCGAGGGACTCCCTGCCTCCATCTCCACAGCATACTGCCACGGTGCGTCTGGGTCCTCTGTCTCCTCCTCCTCCTCTACCAGATGCTCCTGCTCCTACCACTCCTGTCCGCTGAGTGGAAAAACCACCCATTTCACTCAATAATTCCTGAGCACCAATGTCCTCCTCTACCTCCTCCTCTTCTTCCTGTCCTGCCCCCACAGGGGTCATGTGGCGTTGAGATCTGTGCGCCACGTCTCTACCGCACCCTGACCAGCCATTGTTAACAGCATTTGTTCAGGACGTGCAACAGAGGAATGACGTCGTTCATCCCATAGTCCTGCCAACTCACGAATAGCGTTGGCCTCCTCAAAGGGCCTGAGCAAGCGACAGGTGTCACGCATGAGCTGCCAATGGCTGACATCTAAGTTTTACACAGGGAGTACCTTTATCCGCTTGTAACATCAGGAAATCGGTGATGGCCTTTCGCTGTTCGTAAAGGCAGTCTAACATATGTACGGGTTGAATTCCACCTTGTTGCAATGTCGCAGATCAGGCGATGCTGTGGAAATTCCGTTCTGGCCGCTGCAGCTCAAGGAGGGTGTGCTTTGCGTGTAGGAATGGCTGAAATGCATGCAAAGTTTACGTGACATTTTAAGGATGTCTTGCAGTGGGATGGTGGATTTTAGGAACCGCTTGACAACCAGATTGAACACGTGAGCCATGCATGGCGCATGGCACAACCTTCCTTGACGCAGAGCAGACACCATGTTCTTTCCGTTGTCGGTCAACATGGTTCCGATTTTCAGTTTGCGCGGAGACAGCCATCTGTCGATTTCTCTGTTCATTACACTCAGAAGTCCTCCCCTGTGTGACTACGTTCGCCAAGGCAAATACCAGGTGCAGCACAGCGTGACACCGTTGCGCCCTGCACATGTGATAAGCCGGTCGGGTAATGGGACTTGGCACGGGGGGGCGGCTGAGGACACGGCGGAAGAAGAGGTGGTAGAGGCGGACATCTTTTGTGGACCAAGGACGTGCAAACGTGGAGGCAAAAGCGGCGTGACCTGTCCAAGTTGCTGGTGCGGCTGTGCCGGCACCACGTTCACCCAGTGGGCCGTAAATGACATGTACTGTCCCTGACCGTAGTTACAGCTCCACACGTCGGCGCTGCCGTGCACTTTGGCAGAGAACCGACATGCTCAAAGACTGGCCCACCATCTCTTCTACATGTGAATGCAGGGCTGGCACTGCCTTTTTGGCGAAGAAATACCGGCTTGGCACTCTCCACCGCGGCTCGGCACAAGCCATCATTTCTCAGAAAGGTGCTGAGTCCACCACTTGGAAAGGGAGGGACTGCAGCACCAGGAACTTGGACAGGAGGACGTTTCAGCTTTTGCACCGTCGGGTGCGTGCTCGCAAAACTGTTGTCTCTTGGAAACGGATTCCAAGAAAGACTGCTGATGGAATCCGTGAAGAGGAGTAGCAGGAGAAGGAGCATCTGAAATGAGCGGAAGATGCCAACGAGCGACAACTCCCCTCAGCAGAGGTGTTGGAGCCTTGACTGGCTGATAGAGGGCGATTGACGTCGGGTGACGGAGCAAGTAACGGAGCGGGTGAAGGAGCGGGGGCTGGGGCAGCAGGAACCGCCATATCTTTATCACTGGTTTTTCCAGGCCACCGAATGGCGACGCTGCATATGCTGACGCAACGCTGTAGTGCCAACATTGGCCCCCTGGCCACGCTTGACTTTCTGGCCCACATAGTCGACATACGGCTACGTTTACTTCCTCGGGCGTAAAACACAAATACCCATACCCCCACCCCCACTCCCCCCTTGACGAAAAATTGCCACACCGCCGAGTAGGAAACTTTGCCCCCGCTACTCCTCACTGGCTGACTGCTACTTCCTCCGTGCACACCCGGCACCACTACTGGGCCGTGGTGGTAGGCTGCAGTGGAGCTGGTGCTCTACTCCGTGGCCGTTTGGTCTCCACTGACACTGCTGCGACCCTGCTGCCTCCTGGGCAACCCACCGACTGTTTTTTGCTCGCTGGCAAGCTGGCACCCCTCTTCTCCTGATGATGCGGAAGCAATAGCCTGATGACGACGAGGCTGCCAAGTGCGATCAGCCTCATCATCATCAATTAGGGTCTCCGCGTCACTACTAGCCCCCTCGGCTGCGTGTGTGGTCAGGAGACAGACCTGTCTCTAGACCGGCTACCGAGCCACTCTCCTCGCCAGTACTTCTTCGCCTGGCTGCTGAAGAGGCGGATGTCTCCCCCGTTCCTGACCGCCCTCTGTGTTAGCTCTTCCTCACTGTACAGTGGGGCTGAGCCCACAGCATGCGATACTTCGCTTGGTGAGGGAACACCAAAGGACAGGGGCAGGTCGAGGACACGTGATTTCAGTGGGCTTGCTCCCGGGCCATGCCAACTAACGGTTGTGTCTGACGTACCCACCGACCGTTGGCTGTAGGTGTCAGAGGTGACCTGGGAAGAGGAAGACGACCGAGTCAACCAATCGATGACGGCAGGGTTGTCGGTGGAGACACGACCGCTGGATGACACCGGGAGCACTGGCCTCTGGCTGCGACTAGTGCTGCCTCGACCCCTTC